CGCTATGAGTCGGTTCCGATTCGATGGCACCTGACAACAACAACATTTGTAATGACCAAAATAAACACGTACACTACTGTGCAAGTTCCAAAAGTCAGTCAAGTGGTGATTTCGATGTAAATAAGGTAAAAATTCACAACGTGTTCTTGATACCCTATTAGTTACTACCGTTTAAGGAGTTCTGGTAGCGTAGTGGCTACGAATCGGGCTGCTAACCTCAAGGTCAGCAGTTCGAAACTACCAGCTGTTCCGTGGGAAAAAGATGAGGCTTTCTGCTCCCGTAAAGATTTACAGCCTTGGAAACCCTGTATAGGGTCGCTATGAGTTGGAACCGACTCCACGGCACATAACAACAACAACAACATCATGATTAACAGTCCCAACAGACATGGTGTTTTTCTATTCTAAGAGGTACTGCCTTCTAAAAACATGTGAAACTGCTCTACTTGGCTCACCAGGGCAGTCTGCAGCATTTTATCTCCCTTCTGCAGACCTTCTTCCTAAGAAGGGTGGAAACCTGAGGGGCCTCTAAGTGCAGGCTTCAAAGACAGCCAGCGAGAGGCCTGGGGGCTGCCCAGAGAGGGTAGATCCCACCCCTCAGCACAAGGGCCACCGAATTCAGAATCTCCAATCTAGAATCCCTGTTGAATCCAAGTGTTTCATCATTCTGATGTTTGTTGCCAACAACTATTTAGCATGAAAGGTCTTCAAAACAACAGCAACACTCTACCCCCAAAGACACACTATCAGAACTCTGCAATGGCTCCATGATAAAGCTTTTACTGTAAGATGACGGAAGGTAGGCTGTGGAAATGAAGAAATGTTTGATTCTTCTAACCTTTCTTAACCACCCTTTATATGAACGAACCACGGATCTACATGAGGTTCTCTCCTTTTTCCAGCTGGCACTTTACCACTTATGATTGCTATGATACTAAGTGGAGTCTTGATGTGGTGCTGTGGGGTAATGTGCCGGACCGCAAGAGCCATTTGAACCACAAGGTCAACAGTTCCAACTCACCAGCCGCTCCTTGGAAACCCTACACGGGTCGCTATGAATCAGAACCAACTCTACAGCACTTAACAACTCATCGCAACAAATAAGGAATGCTGGTGGTGCAGTGGTTAAGCACTTGGGTACTAAACAAAAGGCTGGCAGTTTGAAACCACCAGCTGCTCTGCTCCAAGGGAGCAAGTTGTCTGTTTCTGTGACGATCACTGTCTTTGAAGCCCTACGAGGCAGTTCTACCCTGTTCTATCGGGTCACTAGGAGTTGGAACTGATTCAATGGCAGCGGGTAGGACAATAAATATCTACCAATTTCTTCTCATGAGTACCTACAATGTTTGAAACACATCAAAGATGAAAACAAATTTGTCACCTGAGAGTCACCTAAAACCACATCTAAGACCGTAGAAGAATTGATGCCTTTGAGTTGTGGTG